CCCCAGGCCCTCCTCCCTCAGACCCAGGCGTCCAGGTCCCCAGGCCCTCCTCCCTCAGACCCAGGCGTCCAGGTCCCCAGTCCTTCCTCCCTCAGACCCAGGCGTCCAGGCCCCCAGCCCCTCCTCCCTCAGACCCAGGTGTCCAGGCCCCCAGCCCCTCCACCCTCAGACCCGGGAGTCCAGGCCCCCAGCTCCTCCTCCCTCAGACCCAGGAGTCCAGGCCCCAGTCCCTCCTCCCTCAGACCCGGGAATCCAGGACTTAACTCCTCCTCCCATAGACCCAGGAGTCCAGACCCCAGCCCCCTCCTTCCTAAGACCCAGGAGTCCAGGCTCCCAGCCCTTCCTACCTCATACCCAGGAGTATAGGCCCCAGCTCCCTCCTCCCTCAGACCCAGGAGTCCAGGCCCCCAGCTCCTCCTCCCTCAGACCCAGCAGTTCTTTGGGCAGTTAGAAATCTGAGATTGTAGCCCATCATAATTCCAGCAGTTCAAGCTCCCTCTTCTCACCCCACCCCCTCCTCTCCAAGAGACAGCTTGATGCTGGGGAAGAGGGCCCCGAGAAGGGGGCACCAGGCATTTGTCAGCATTCACTGAGTGCCTGGCCCCAGGCTCCATGCACCTTCTCCTCAAGCATGTGGGAGAGAGATGGCCACTTTCGGCGTCCACACGAGGAGACAGGTTCACGTGGTGACCTGGCCAGACCATGAGCACCATGAGGACTGAGCTCACAGCGGTCTCGCTCCTGCTCTACACTGGGCACCTGGCATGGCTGGCCCAACGCAAAGCGGGAGGGGAAGGAGCCCTGCTCTTTCCCGCAGCCAGCCCCTCATCCGTACCCAGCGTGGCGGCGTGGTGCTTGGGGCTGTTGACGTTGAGGTGCAGGTAGTTGTGGTGCAGATTATCTGGGGGCACCAAGAAGGGAGGTGACGTCACTGCCATTGCTGACTCCCAGCTGGCACCGTGGCCCTGATCTCTGGGAAGGACTCTGGCCCCAAGGTTGGCCCCACATGCAGGACCTCGTTAGAGCTCTACAGATCAACCCATGCCATTGGCCACATGAACTGAGGCTGGGGGTCTTGAAGGTGGAAAGAGTGGGCACAGGCTAAGGGATGGGTAAGTGGTCTGTCCCAAGCTCCTAGCACCCCCCTTCCCTGGTGCCCAGGCTAGAGATCTGAGGGGGTCACCTTGCTACCTCTCTTCACCTCCCACCCATGTCCTCTTGGTTCCTCCTGATATCTGAATCTCTGCCCTGATGTGTCCTCTCCCTCCTGGATTGCCAGAGCAGCCTCTGGCCATCCAGCCCATCCATCTCCATGATCAGCCTCACCGAAGCAACTGCCCTTCCACTGCTCAAGAGCCTTCCCATGGCTCGCCATCACCCACGGGACAAAGTTGAACCTAGGAATGATGTTTGAGGCTTGAGGCTTCAAAACCTGGACCCACTGGATGTCTGCAGCCCCATCTCCCATCCCTTCCCTCAAGCCACATTGCTCTTTCCAGTGAGCCCTGTGTGGTCCTGCCACAGGGCCTTTGCACATGCCACCATGCTGTTCTCACTGCCTTGAAGCCCTTCTTCCCATCTGCCTCAAGATCCAGCTCAAATGTCTCTTCTCCTCTCCACCCCTGACACCAACTCCGTCCTTGTCCTCTTGCTGCCTGGACTATCATCCCAGCCTCCTCCTGGGACTCTTTCCTCTCATCTGTTCCCTTCGCATGGGTTCCAGAGGACCAGTTCTTCCACCCACTGCTGACTGTGTTGCTCCTCTACTCGAACTCCTCTGCAGCTCTCCATCACCCTCAGGACAGAGGCAGAGCTCCTCAGCCCAGCCTGGCACTCTAGGCCCTCTTGGAGGTCACCAACCACCCTCTCCCTGTCCTCAAGTCTGGCCAGCCCACAAGCTCTGCTACCCAGAGCTTCCCAGCCCCAGTAACTCCTCTCCTCCTCCAGGCTCAAATACCTCCTCCTCGGAGAAGCCCTCCTGCCCCCAAACCAGACCACATCTTCTCAGTCCCCCTGACAGCTCCTTGGACTTCTCCACTGATGCACTCATCATAAATTATAATGATATAGATCATATTTAAGTAATATATATTAAATATGATATATCCTATTTTAAAGATATATATATTTAACAACAGCAATAGCCCACCCTTAACATGGTATTTTTGTCTGTGTTACACATTATTCTAAACACCTGTCTCACCAATTCATTTGCCCTTCACAATAACCCCATCAAGTGAGTACTGTCATGCTTCTCATTTTACGGATGGAGAAACTGAGGCCCACAGAGGTGAAGTCACTTGACCCAGGTCACACAGTGGCAGAGTCAGGATTCAAACCCAGTCGGTCTGGCTCTTGACAATTTCGAATTTGGTAGTTGAGCCCTTGTGTGTAGTTGGCTGTCGGGTGGTCTGACACTGAGCGCAGGGGCTTGAGAAAGTCTAAACCTACATCACCAAGGTGCCCATGGAGCCCACCCACTGGAGCGCACAGGAGGGCAAGGAGGTGGTCTGGGTCTCTACGGAGTTCCCAGCCCCCGTCCGCCTTTCGCAGGACTCGGCGGTGCCAGGCGGGCGTAGAGGGGTGAGGGCGGGCCCGGGGTGATGGGGGTGGAGCCGCCATGGAGGGCGGGGCTACAGGGTGAGGGGGCGTGGCCAGAGACGGAGGCTCTGCCGGATCCCACGTTTCACTCACCGAGGTTGGGGGTCTTCACGGTGTTGTAGAGGTTCTTGGGCGTCCTGGGGGGCATGCTGTCGGGACCGCCGATCCCCGGGGTCAGGGAGCTGCTTCGGGCCCGGTCCGGGCGGGTCCCAGGCCCCGCCTGATGTCTCAGAATGTCCACCAGAGCTCTAAAGGTGGCAGAGAGGTGGTCAGCGGCCTGGGGTCTGGGGGCGGCAGGGGTACAGGGAGGGCCCAGGCTTCGTTCCGCTCCCTGCTCTCGCCCTTGGGTAACCTGTCACTCAGCCTGCTTTTTTCGCCATTGGCCACTCCCGTTTCCCGTTGGCCACGCCCCCTCGAACGACCCCCTTTCTCGGGCCACGCTTCCTGCTTGAAGCGCTGCTGTCTTAACTCGTGTGGACCCCACCCCTTCTGTGGTCCCTCTCACTTCCCTGTGGGCTCACCCCACCCTGAATCTGGGACCCCATTCCCGTTCCTTTTGCAGCCTTCCCCATGGCAACAAAGGGTGCTCCATTTTCCCAGTGATGCGGACCTCAAACATTAAATCACCTTGACTCTTCTTTTTTCCCCCCACTTCATCCCTTTCAGTAATCCTACGGATCGAACCTCCAAAACATATCCCAAATCGGACCACTACTCACCACCTCTGAAATCTCTCACCTGGATCATTGCAACAGCCCCTTCACGGGTCTCCCCCTCCCACCCTAGCCCCGTACAACCCAGTCTCACGCGCAGCTCGCATAATTTTAAAATGGACAGATGGCATCACGCCTGAGCTCAGGACCCTGCAGTGGCCCCATCACACTTAGAATAAACCCGGGCCCACCTGCTTCTCCTCACCTCCTGCTGCCCACCGCCCCCAGCTGCACGGGCACTTCCCTGCCCTGCAGGCCACCGAGGGCCTTTGCACGCAGTTCCCCTGCCCCAAACCTCTCGCCCACAGATCCCTGCGTGGCTCGCTCCCTCCCTTTGGGTCTCTGCTCAGAGGCCTTTTCGGATCACTTCCTCTAATCCAGCGCCCTCTCCCTCCACACTTTCCGCTGATTTTCTTCACAGCAGTCATCTAAAATTATACAGCACATGCATTTGCCTGCTTACGGACTGGGCCGCTGATATTTAATGAGCACTTACGGTGTGCCAGGACTCTGCACGAATCAACTCAGTTAATTACAATCCGAATAGGTGGGGACGATGATTAGTCTCATTGTGCGGACGGGAAACTGAGGCACAGAGAGGTTAAGTAACCCGTCCACTGTCACACAGCCTGTGGGCCGTGAACTTGGATTTGGAAGTTAGGCTTTTCCACCACGGCAGAGACCTTGTTTTGTTCACTCCTGTACCCCAGCTCCTGGCCCACAGAAGATACTCAAGAAATATGTGTCGAGGAATGAGAGCCTGAGCTTCTCCCGCTCCCTGCATCACTCCGCAATAGCCGGGTCGGCTCTGGCACGGCTTTCTCAGCCCCTGAGCACCTTCAGCTCCGCGGGAGGCCGCCACCTGGGTCTCTGAAGACGCCCTACCCCTGTAGCCCCTCCTCCTTGGACGGCTCCACCTCCCTTGCTGGGCCCCGCCCCAGGCTCGCAGTCCTCCCGCCCCAGAGCACACGCACCTGGGCACGTTGATCTCCCGGTGCGCCCGGGGCGCACGGGACGCCTTGCTGAAGGCCACTTTGGCGCCGACTCCCACGGCCAGGGCGAAGCTGATGACCCCGCACACGACGTAGGCTGTGCTGCCACC